GGGGGGGGATGGGCATGGTGTAGATGGGGGGGTCAAGCACTGGTGGGGGGACGGATCAAGGGGGGACGGATCAAGGGGATCAAGGGGGGACAGATCTCAAGGGGGGACGGATCAAGGGGGGATCCACGCCTCGAGCACACTTGGCTGCACAGCCCATACGCCTTTACCACACACACATCTAATAGTCGTCGTACTCGTAGGCATCGACTCCATCATCGTCTTCCCCACCGGGAGCAGCCTCGCCTTCGGGAACCTCGCCGGCGCCCGTAGCCGCAGCGGCGGCAGCAGCAGCAGCCTCGGCGGCGGCGGCGGCAGCGGCGTCGATCGCCGCCTTGGTCGGCAGCATGAACGGCAGGTTCCAGTTCTTCTCGCCGGTGCCAAAGTAGGCGTACCCAAACTTGCGGGTGCCGGCGACGTGGAAGGCGACGGCGCCCGGCCAGAGAAGCGAGCGGAGGGTGACGGTCTGCGTGGCGACGTCGTAGTTGACCGACCACGCCCCGGCCGGCACGTCCTCGTCGAGCGTGTCCATAAAGTCGAGGTGTGCATCGTCGGCCTCGCGCTCGAGGAGCGACTTGGTGAGGAGGCGGACGGCCGGCCGGAAGTGGCAGTACATGGCGAGCGAGGTCGAGATCGGGACCGGAAGCCCGGCAAACGTCGGGTTCGCCGTCACCACCTCGGTCGCCGTCTTGAGGTACGCGCCGCGCGGAACGACCGCCACGTCAAACTCGAGCGTCTCCACCAGGTACGCCAGCCGCTTCTCCTCCGACACTCGCACAAACTTGTGCCGTCGGACCTTGCTTCCGCCCTCGCCGCCTTCCGACGCCTCATCGTCGCCGTATGCCGACGACTCGTCGCCGTACTCGGACGCATCACCAGCCCCGCCGCCGTCCTCCATCGACCGCGCGCCCTTGAGCGTCGCTGGCGGCGTTGCCCCCGCCGGCACCGGAACCACAAACTCCCAAGACGGCTCGCCCGAGAACCGCCCACGTGCCGCAGCAATGTACGGCAGCTCCTCCGGCTCGAGCTTGGGCAGCTGCACCCACGACGCACAGTCGGTCGAGATGAACGCCCGCTTCGCCTCACCATCAAGCACGTTTGCCGCCGTTCCCAGCGCCACAAAGTAGTCGCCCGACACGCCGAGCACTTTGCCCACAAACCGAACCGAGGCAAACTTGAGATTAGTCTGCAGCAACGCCAGCGACGATCCCAGCGCCGCCTGCTGTTCCAACGACAGCGTGTACCCAGTTGCCCTTGCCAGCACCTCCATGTCCGTCAGCACGTTGTGGACCTCCACTACAACCACCACACATCGTCATCGACATCATCATCGCCATCATCATCGCCATCGCCATCGCCATCGCCATCGCCATCGCCAGCCACAGCCCCGCAGCCCAGCCGCCGTCCGTTCACGGTGTTATGCCAGACGCCAGGTTCGCCACAGGCAAAGGAGACATGGGAGAAAAAGAGAGCCAAAGACCACACGCAGACCATTTCCACACCCCCAAGCAGTAGCCACGCAGCATACACATGGTATCACACGTGAGTCCCCATACCATACCCTCAAAAAAAATGATGAGTGCACCCCCCTCCCCCCTCCCCTCCCCTCTCCCTCCCCGCCACCCGCCAACCATGTCGCACTGCGTCGGTTAGCCGCCGCCGCCCCACCGCCACCGCCACCACCATTCCTCAGCCTCTGGTACCACCCCCCATGGACATGCCCATGGATACAGTGAGATGAGGAGAGAGAGGGTAGTATGGAGAGTATGCGAGGCTAGTTCGCTACCTGCTGGTACCCTCCCTGCAATGGCTACGTACTCGTGAAATGGCTGCCGTCGTGAGGTGTGCCGTTGTTTGCTTCGCTCGCTGCCGACTCGTCGACCCGCGCGCTGCCACCCCCACAATCAATGCCTCTCATCAAATTAATCGACACCCCCCACACCCCCACAATCAATGCCTCTCATCAAATTAATCGTCACCCCCCCCACACCCCACACAATCAATACCTCTCATCAAATTAATCGTCACACCCCCCCACACCCCCCACAATCAATACCTCTCATCAAATTAATCGTCACACCCCACACAATCAATGCCTCTCATCAAATTAATCGTCACACCCCCCCCCCACACCCCCACAATCAATACCTCTCATCAAATTAATCGTCACACCCCCCACAATCAATGCCTCTCATCAAATTAATCGTCACACCCCACACAATCAATGCCTCTCATCAAACACAACGTGCTCGCTCTCGTCGCGCCCGTGGCCTCGCCGCAGACTATCATCAAACGAATCGTCACCGTGCTCGCTCTCGTCGCGCCCGTGGCCTCGCCGCAGACTATTGTCATGGACTCGTACGACTCGAGCGCGCAGCTCTTCCACGCTCTCGCGACGCGCGGGCATCGGGCGGCGAACACCGTCCGCAGAGGCCGATGCGTGGCTCGCACGTGGGGCCTGCCGCCCGACGCTCGTCCCAGCGACGCCGTTGTGTGCAACGTGGGCGACGACCTCGCTGTTGTCGCGTGGAAGGACTCGATCGAGTGCCGTTTCCTGGCAACCTGCTCTCGTCCTCCAGACTCAACGACATCGTCGTTGCTCGCCAAGACGACCGTGCGACGCTGGAGCCGGAGTGAGCGCCAAAGCGTCGTCCGCCCCGGCCGTCTCATCGTCACGGAGTACAGCGACCACATGGGCGGCGTCGACCTCAACTCGCGCCTGCGCGCCTCGCTCTCCACTGCGCCGCCGAGCACGCGCAAGTGGTGGCACGCCATCTTGTATCGGACTCTAGGCGCCGCGCTCATCAACGCGTACGCGCTCTACGCTGACACGATCCCACGCCCCGCCATGACTCGCGTGGCTTTTCTCTACGACATCATCGACACCCTCCCCGCCAGCGCCGACCCCGTCAGCTCCGCGCCGTCGCGCAAGCGGAAGCGTCCCTCTGCAGCGGCTGCTCGTCATCACCACTTTCCCAAACAAGCCGCCGTGCGACGCGACTGCCTCGCTGGCCGGAAGCTTCATGGCAACCGATCGCGGCCGCGGACCTTTTGCGCTGCGTGCGGCGTCCATCTCTGCATCGCCGACTGTTTTCTGTTGTGGCAGCCATTAACGCATTGTACTACTCTTTTACCGCGATTGATGGCCGTGGCGACGTCTGTGGAGCGTCGCGGAGCGCGGCTTGCGCGACGGACAAATGTGTCCATTCCGTACCGTAAAGGGCTAAAGGGTTAGAGATCGTCAAAGAACGAGTTGGGCTTCTCGGAGGTCGACTGCAGAACCACATTCCGACGCGGCATCCGCTCATGCGAGTGGGCCTGGAAGATCTTGTCGTGGACGGTGGTGAGGTTGGTGAAGCGGATGACCGTGTCGTGACCAGTCGACGCCAAGAGGAGGCCATCGCCCGAGACCGCCATGGCCGAGACCTCAACGTCGTGCTCCGAGACCACGTCGACGAGCTTGTTGGGATGGACCGAGAAGACACGGACCGAGCCATCAGCGGCCGCCAGCGCCACCCCACCCTCGGAGATCTTGACCATGGCCTCGATCGAGCCGAGCGCGGCGTACTCGTCGAGCGGCGCCCCGAGGTAACCGGCCTCAAACACATGGAGCTCACCGGTCTGCACCCCGGCCACAACCTTGGACCCGTCCGCCAGCGCTGTCACGCTCACAATCTCGTCGTCGAGCGGCTCAGACTGCGAGAGCGGCCGGTTGCCCGCAAGGTCAAACGCCCCGATCCGCCCGTCGCCGCCTGACGAGATCAGCATCGACCCGTCGTTGAGCGACGTAAACGAGGTCACATAGTCCTCGTGCATATCAGACGTCCGCACATAGTTGGGCGCACGGACGTCCCAGATCCGGATCGTTCCTGTGTCGTCACCCGAAGCCAGCCCAAACTCGCCCAGCGCAAGCAGCGCGTTGATCGGCGTCGCCACGTCGCCACCAAACTCGTCGTCATCCTCCTCGCCGCCGTCCTGTCCCTCGCCGCCGAGGTAAAAGTCGAAACCGCGCGACGCCATCCCGCCCTTCTTCTTCTTCCCGCCCTTCTTGCCCGACCGCCGAATCGCTGCCAGCGCGCCTGCCACCGACTCGTCTGGCCCGCGCGCAGCCTCTGCCGCCAACGCCGCCGCCGCCGCCGAGTCGCTCGCCAACGCCCTCGCTGTCTCTGCCGCAGCGCCCGCAGCCTTTCTCCACCGACGCGCCAACGATGGCTGAGTCGCGTTGGGAATGGTCCACACACCCTTGCCCGTCTCCACATCCACCGCCTTGAGGGTGCCCGATGCATGGCCCAGAAAAATCGCATTGCCCGAGGGTGAAAACGCGGCTGCCCGCAACGATTTGATGGCCCGAGCCGAAATAGCCGAAAAAGTCGAACCAGCCTTTTGCCCAACAGCACTACTGCTGCTGCCATCGCTGTACGGCACAGTGTACATCAGCTTGGCCTCGGCCGTCTCACTCAGCGAGTACATGTTGAGCGCTCCGTCGACACACCCGGCGGCCAGGACATAGTTGGACGGGTGGAAGTGGAGGTTCATGCCCAGCGCAGGCAGCTCAATGGCTCCGGGCGTCGTGTAAGTTGCCATGGTATATGGTATATGGTATATGGGGAGGGGGGGGGGGGGGGGGGGGGGGGAGTGGCTTCACCGTCTGTCGTCGTCGTCGTCCTCCTCGTCCTCGTCGTCGCCCTCGGCTCCCTTGTGTCGCACTATTCGGATGGATGGATGGAGTGATCGACCGCACCAAACCAACACATTGTGTGCCTGGCCGCCTGAGGCTTGCCAGACAGACAGACTCTCATCGCCCGACCACTCCATCCAACCCAACCCACTGCTTCCACAGTGAGTCAGTGTTCTGTTCTTCACTAAATCAGCCCGTCCATTTCCACCTCTCCAACCTCGCCGAGATCGCCCACATCTGTGGTGTTCTCCACCGACGACACGCCGGCGGCGACGGCAGAGTCGAGCGAGGCGAGGAAGCGCCCGGCATCGCGGAGGACGTCCGGTCCGGCCTCCACGTCCTGCAGCTCGCTGGTAATGACCGCCATCAGCCGTCGCTGGCGATCGTTGGCCGCAAGGTACGTTGCCCGCCGGTCACGGACAATAAGGATCACGTCCATGGCAATGCCGTGGATCGAGACCGCAAGGAGGACGATGACGGCCGCGATGGCCGAGACGAGGAACATGGTGGAGTTGGGCGAAGCCTGCCGCTCTGCGTATGACGCTGCGCCAAGGAAAACAACCAGACACACCGCCGCGTTGAGCCGCATGTCTAGCGAGTTGTACAGCGGAAAGTAGTACGGCTGCCACCGCGCGACGCAGAGGAGCGACGTCACAAGCACCATAAGCAGTGTCCCGATGAGCAACAGCTTCATGCCCGAGAAGAAGACGGCCACAAGCACAATAACTAGCCGCTTACCGAGCTCGCCCACGCCGCACCAGTAGAACTTGCGCCGGTACAGCCGATACAGCGCTCCCAACCGGAGCGTCACCTGCGGCGAGAAGAGCTCGTGACGGTGCTGTCCGAGTGCGTAAGCAAAGTACAGCGGGATGCCCACAACATACACCACAACAGAGCAGAGCCCCAACCAAGCCACACCCCACCACGCCGCATCAAAGCACGCCACGCCAGGATCGGTGTCCAGAACAAGCCGCCCGTTTGGCAGTCGCACGCAGTCAAAGATCAATAGCGTCGCCCGAGACATCGGAATGTACAGCAGCGGCGTGATGGTGAACAAGACCGCATCCGCCAGCGTGCTCACAGCCACCTCATCCAGCCCGTGGAAAAATCCCACCTTGGGCGCCACGACCTTGAGCAGAATGAGCGTACCAAAGACAAGTCCGAGAAAAACAACAGGGAGGAGGACAGTGAGCGCGTACTTGGTGTGGAACGACGCCACCGCGCACTCGGAAGCAAACAGGTTGGCGTCAACGTTAAAGACATTGAAAAAGAGAGCACGTCGCGTGTCGCCCCGCTCCACGCCAGGTCTATGTCCACCACAAGCCCCACAAGCTGAAAGGCCACAAGCACCATCGACGGTGACGCCGGCGACGTCAGCCGCCGAAACGCCCGGATCAGCTGCGCCTGCGACTTGACCTCGCCCGTCGCCGTCCCGGTCCGGATTCCGGCCCGCACAAGTGCCCATCCAACCCCAACCGCCACCCCATTGGCCACAAGCACAATTATCACCTGCGCAGACACAAACGTCGAGACTGCTGCCTCGGGGCACGGTACGCACGCCCCGGACGCGTCCGAGTAGTGCCCGGCCTCGCACTCGTTGCACATAAAGCCCGAGTATCCGCGCCTACACGGCGCCACGTTCGATCCTCCCACGCACCCGGCCGCACGCCTGCACGCCACAAACGTGCCGTCGCCCACAGGGTAAAAGCCCACCAGTGGAACAGGCTCATCGCTGCCGAGCGCGCACAGCCCTCCCGGAGGACACTCATCGCACGCCTCACCCTCGACACGCCCGGCGTGCGAGTAGAAACCATCCTTGCACACGCAGCTCACAGTCCGGTTCTGCTCCACCGCAACCGTCGAATCAGGGCATGGATCACGGAGCGCGCACGGCGCCACCGATGTCTCCTCAGACACCTCGGACACCCCGCATACCGTACAGACCAGCCACGGCGACTCGTCCGCAGGTCCACCGCCGGTTCCGGGCGGGCATGCCGTCAGCGTCACCGCAATCGTCGACGTGCTTGCCAGGTCGCTCCGCACCCCGTCGGTCAGTCCCACCTCGAGCCGCAGAGGCACGTCGTCGTACGGCGGGCCGTACATGCCCAGTGACGACGAGACCAGCGAGAAGCTCCCGTCGCCAGCCTGCGGAATCGCCGTCGGTCCGATGTTCTCCACTTTGTCCTCCTCCACGTCCAGGATCGTCACTCCAATCCGAATCTCACTCGCCCGCACTCGTTGCCCGACTCCATCCAGAAGCTCGATCGAGACGCCCGCCAGCAAGAGCGCCGATCCAATCCGCGCACTCGGCGGTTGGATCCACACAAACTTCTCCGGCACCGTCGCCCATCCCGGGCCGTAGCCGTCTGCTCCCACGCTCGACGACACCGTGCCCGGCGGGCCCGACGCCGGAAACGCCGCAGGCTCGCTCACACACCCAAACCCGGCCCCGCCTGCCGCGCTTGCGCTAGCATCGATGATCGTCATCGGTCCACTCACAGTGCACGAGCAGAGGAACAGGCCACCGCCAATACCTGCCGACACAGACGTCATAGACAGTCCAGACCCAGCCATCGTCACAGACGAAGTCGACGTTCCCGATGCCACAGGACTCAGGTCCCAAACCTTGGTAGACGACACCGAGGAAGAAGAAAAATCTTCGCAGGCCAGAGCGCCGCCAGCCAGGTCCGCACTTGTCGACGAGATGGTCACATCCGTCAGAACCGCGTCTTGGACGCTCCGAATATGTATGCCACCCCCAATCTCGGCAGCATGGCAGTTGGAAATGGAGACTCGCGTCATAAGAAATCGTGAAACACTGGTCGACAAGGCAATGTTGACAGCTCCGCCGACACTGCGCGCAGAACAGTCGACAAACGTCGTGTCGACAATCTCGACCGAGACTTCAAAGCTTCTCCCATAGATCGTGACACAGCCACCGTTGCCTGATGCCAGCCTGGCAAACTTGGAATTCGCAATAAGAGCTGTTCCGCCCTCGAAAGCGATGCCACCGCCAAAGCTGCTGAACGAGAACGTCGACCCGTTCTCAAACGTGCACCCAATGATGATAGACGATGAATCTCGCGAGTAAACAGAGCCACCACCCATGGTGGCGCGGTTGAGCGAAAAGTGGACTCGCTCCAAACGAAGTGTCCCACTCACCACGAACACCGCACCACCAATGGTCGCAAGGTTGTCAACCGCCGTCGAGTCCGTCATCACCAGCACTCCGCCGGAAGTCACAGACACCACAGCCCCATTGGACAATGTCGAGCCCAAAGTCGCAAAGTGGCAGTGAGTCAAGACCAGCTCTGCACCCTCGCCTTCGACCATGAGCATCGTAGTTCCTGTCGAGTTGATGGCAGAGAGGCCAGCAAACGAGACCGAGACATTGGTGCCAATGCGGAACGCCCCCCATTGCGGTGGTCGCAATCGATCACTACGCCTGTGGCGTTCACCGTGGCCGACTTCCACAACTGAAGGTTTGCCGTCGGGCAGCTGGTGTACGTCGCCGCCGGAAACACAACTTCCTGGCTCGCGCAAGCTCCGGCAGTTGACATCGCTGCCAAGCACTCGACTGAACGTCGGCCGCCACGCAGCTGCGTCGAGCATGTCGGGAACATCTCTGGTATGGGCCGCAAGCTCGCCGGCCGCAGAGCGGTCGTAAAACGATCAAACTCGCGGCCCCGTGCCACGCGAACCTCATTATAGCGCGAGTAAGCAATGTCGCGAAGACCGACGCCATCTGCGTCGAGGTTGACCACATGGTAAACCGCTTGCGGGTCGGTCTCGCGCAGCTGCTGCGAGCTCCAAGTCCCTGTCGGGTCGCCGTACATGTTGACGTGGGCAAAGAGCAAGTTGGACGTCGCCACAACCAGGTCTGGCACAGAGTCGCTGTTGAGGTCTGTGACAATAAGGTCTGTGCCCACACCGGGAAAGTCCACAACAGTCGCCAGACCAAAGATCGGGCCGAAAACGCCTGGCGCGATCTGCACTGCTGCAAAGACATAGCGATTTCCCCCGCTGCCGCACCCCACAATGTCACCGAGTCCGTCGACGTTGAGGTCGGCGATCATCAATGCATTGGCGGCGAGCGTAGACAGCGGCGGCGGCGGAACTGCGGTGTCGACCACTGCAAACGTGCCGTTGCCGGTGTTGCCGAGAACTACCACGTCGTTTCCCGAGACAACCGCCACGTCGACGTCGCCGTCGGCGTCAATGTCGCCCACGGCATTGGTCGCGGTTGTTCCAGTTGCAGTAACTAAATGAAAGTTATTCCATGCTTCCTCCTTTCCCACATTCTGGACCCAGTGCACGCCGTTGACGTCACTCCACAAAACATCAAGAAAGCCATCCGCGTCGACATCACTCACCTCGATCCAGCGCGGCAGGTCGACAAGAGAGACTGAAAAGGGAAAGACGCAGGAAAGTGACACCGGGAGGCTCCAGCAACCCATGATCGACCCACCACTCCCGGGGGCTGAAGCGGCCACCATATCAAGCTCCCCGTCTTGATCAAGGTCGGCGAGTACCAGTCCGCCAGCAATCGGGTCTGGTATTGTCATGACCGTGATACCGTTGGCAAACGAGCCGGTGCCGCCCTGGTTGCGATACACGTTCACGACTCCCGTGCTCTGCTGCGACACAACGTCCTCCCACCCGTCATTATCAATGTCGCCGGCGGCGACCGTCAGTACATTGGCCACTGCCGGCGAGACGAGCTGCGTACCGACGTCAAACGGGTAGAGCATGGCCGACTGCGTTGCCGCTGCTGAGAACCAAAACACCCGCCCAGAATTATTGGCTGAAAGAATCCAATCGAACAGGCCGTCACCATCGACGTCGGCAACCTCGACGCCAAACACACCCAAGAACTGGCCGTCATCGATGTTCGAGTATAACTCAACGGGCGAGAACGAGGCGCCAGAGCCCGTGTTGAGGTACACAACGAGTTTGGAGACAGCGGCGACAACAAGATCAATGTCGCCATCGGCATCGGCGTCAGTAGCGGCAACATCCTTCCCTTGAGACGGCCCAGGCACCGACTGCTTGGGCCCGAAGACTCCCGGCGTAGTCGCCATCGCCCAACCAAGCCCGGAAGTTGTTGAAGACACATGGGCAACATCGAGGAGAGAGTCAGCGTTAAAGTCGCCCACCACCACCGCCCACACGCCACTAGTCACAGACACTGTGCTCACCGTCCAGCTGGAGCCGTCACCCGCATCGTTGGTGGCGAGAACAACGGCCGAGCCAGAGTAGTCCGCCGCCAGAAGGTCAGCATCATTATCACTATCAATGTCGACAATGACAAGTCTGCGCAGGCCTAGTCCAGCAGCAATGGCCGGCTTGCTCGTGAGAACGCCGGAGCCGTTGTTTGACCACCAGGCAAAATGGCCTCCGCTAGTAGCAGCGACGACGTCCGCATGGCCATCGCCAGAGAGGTCGCCCATTTCACCAAACTGCACAGCACTGGCCGAGTAAGTCACAGGCGTGAGCCACGAGACGGGCGAGAGAGAGTCTTGGAGGACGACAACGACATGAGACATGCGAAAAATGACGACATCGAGACGATTATCAGCATTCATATCAGCCACGGCCATGGTTTGAAGGTTGAACATGGACGATGCCACGAGTTGAGGAGCCTTTGAAGGACCCTTAGCCACCACCGAGTTGAACCAGAAGACATCGCTTCCACCACCTGGCGCCGAACTCACAATATCATTCACACCATCACCATCAATGTCACCAATGACCACATCAGAAGCCAATGAAACAGTGGCATCACCGCCAGCACGAAAACCAAGTCGACGACCTGCCGGATTTGCGCTGGCACATGGCCGGCTGGAAAACGTAGTGGAAGGGAGGGTGAGGAGTAGGATTCCGAGCAAGGTTAGAGCAGTGAGCGTGAGCGTTGACGCCATGGGAGAGAGAGGGGGGTTAGGGGAGGTGCGGGGGTTGTGTGGGAGTGGTGTGTGGGAGTGGTGTGTGGGAGTGGTGTGTGGCAGGTGGGGGGGGGGGGGGGGGGGCGGGGGGCGGGGGGGGTTTACGGGATTGACCGGGCAGCGGAACACCGGTATATAGCTTGTGTGGCTTCAATGGTTTTCAGTGGCAAGGCTCACCGGTCAGGCTCATCGTCGTACTCGTAGTCGTCGTCGTCGACGACGCGCGAGGGGATGGCCACCGGTGGGATGTAGGCGTCGTGGGCGCCGGGACGGGGCGGCGAGGCGGTGCTTGAGGCAAAGATGGTCGAGTCGGTGAGCGAACGAGCGAGGGCGTCCTTTGCCGAGCCGGCCTCTGCGATGCGGATAAAGACGTCTTCAAGGGTGGTCTGGGCGATGTTCCACTCTGCGACGTGGAGCCCGTCCTTGCGAGCCTCCATGGTAGTGAAGAGCTCTGCGAGGTCAAATGAGCCCTCGGGGACGTGGAAGTGCTGGTTGGGCCCGAGCGAGTGCGGCATGTGCGAGGCGCGCGGGAGGAGGTCGAGGATAGCGGCGACGGCGGCGGGCGCGGCGTCAATGTGGTCGGGGTGCATTGAGAGCGAGAGGCGATAGCCTGCGGCAAACTTGGCCTTGAGGTGGCCGGACGAACCGACACACTCGAGGGCGCCTGAGGCCATGATGCCAATGCGGGAGCAGAGGGCCTCGGCCTCTTCGAGCGAGTGGGAGGTGAGGACGACCGAGGCATTCCCGGAGCGGCAGGCGCGGGAGATGATGTTCCACACCTCGCGGCGGTTCTTGGGTCGAGGCCAGTGGTGGGCTCGTCGAGGAAGACGACCTGCGGCGAGCCGATGAGCGCGATGCCGATGGAAAGGCGCCGCTTCATGCCGCCCGAGAAGCGGCCAACGAGGCGCTTGCGGACGTACGTCAGGTGGAGCTCGTCGAGAGTGCGGGCGACAGCACGCTTAAGCTCGGCACCCGTCATGCGCTTGAGGCGGCCGTAGAGGTAGAGGTGCTCCTCGGCGGTCATGGTCGGCCAGAGGATGTCGTGCTGCGGACAGACGCCGAGGACGCCATAGATCTCGTCCATCGACTCGCGGATCGAGTACCCAGCGACGAGGGCGTCGCCGTAGCTCGGCTCGATGAGGCCAGAAAGCATCGAGGCGATGGTGGTCTTGCCGGCGCCGTTGTGGCCGAGAAGGCCAAAGCACTCGCCGCGGCGGATGCCAAAGGTGGCGTTGCGAACGGCGACCTTGCCGCCGTCGTAGACCTTACGGAGGTGGCGCATGGCAATGGCGTTGGTCCCGGCGTGCCTCGGGTCGAGGATGTAGCGCCGCTCGGCCGCGACGTCTTCGTCCTCGTCTTCGATGGGATACTTGTCCTGGAGAAGCGGGCCAGACATGAGGGCGCGCTCCTCGTCGGCGTCCGAACCCGCCTTGGAGCCGCGCCAGTACGAGGGCTTGAGGCAAAAGATGGGCGACTTGGTAACGCCAAAGCCTGCCGGCACAACCTGGTCGAGGTAGTAAGCAAGGAGGAGGAGGGCGACAAGCTCGACGGCGAGGTAGCCGTAGATGTTGCCGAGGTAGGCGTCGCCCGAGTTGACCGTAGCAAGCGTGAGGCCTTCCGAGCCTGCGGTGGCGGCGGCGGCGAGGTAGCCGACGCCGCGCTGAAAGGCAAAGAACGGGTAGAGCGAGAAGAAGAAGCTCTGCGCGCCGTTGCCCTCGACCTGGCCGACAAGGATGGAGCCCGAGATCCACGAGACAATGACGACGAGGTACGAGACGACGGTGGCGATAAACTCGCGGCCAAAGAGGGTGGTGAAGACAAAGGCAAGCGCAATCATGGTGGCGCCCCAGAGGAGGAAGAGGATGAAGTAGGTGGGGAACGAGTTGCGGATGAAAAAGTCAAAGCGGAAGACAAAGCCAAGGGCAAAGAGCACAACAAGGACGCCGATGTAGAGGATGAACGAAAAGACAAAGTTGACGAGCCAGTAAACCGACATCTTCATGCCCTGCATCTTGAGGATCTCAATGAGCTTGTGCTCCTTGTCGTGCATGATGGAGCCGACCACAAGCGGGAACTGGAAGAAGAGAATGAGCGGAAAGAGGATGGCGGCGAGGAACGAGACAATGTCAATCTTGACCTCGTGCTCGCGAACCGGGAGCTTGACGTACGAGTGCTCGTACGGCGCCGAGGCGTTGAGGGCGAGTTGCGAAAAAGCGGTGGAGGCCGAGGCAAAGAGCGCCGGCAGCGAGTCGTAGAACTTGGCCTTGGTCCGGTTGAACAGGAGGTTGACCGAGAACGCGTTGTCCGTAGCCGAGAGAATGTCAAAGCCGCCGGCCCAACCGCCGCCGCCAAAGTGCGCGGCGTAGAGCGTCGACTGCATTGCGGCGAGCGAGCTGAACTGAGTCTTGACAAACGAGATGTTGGTGGATAGCTCTTCGAGCGGTGGATTGGTGTAAGGCGCCATGTACAAGCTGTTTCCGACGGCGAGCTCGGCGGGCGAAGGCGAGGCCGGCACGGACCAGCCAAGCTGGTTGGGAAAGTCGTCGTTGGGGAAGAAGAGCCAGTTCATGGGCGCGGGCGTCGGGTTCGGCGAGGCCTGCACGGTGCGGTTGAGCGAGGAGATGACAAAGAGCTGCACCATAATGAGGATAAAGACGATGAACGAGGGGCAGCAGATCTGGCAGCAGTTGGTCACCTTGCGCCGCTTCTGCAGGTGGTACGACTTGGCGAGGAGGGCCTTGACCTGCAGGCCGTAGCGCGGCTTGAGGCGGCCGGTGGCGGCGGGTGGCGGTGGCGGCGGCGAGGGCGCAGTCGTGTCGGAGCGCGGCGTGTCTGCGGCAGAGGCCGGGCCCGAACCCGAGCCTGGTGCCTGCTCGCCAACCGGCTGGGCAACCGGGATGTCGTGATTGACGGAAGAGGCGGCGGCAGGGTCCTCGAGCGGCGCCTCGCCCGAGACGGTGGTAAACTCCTCGCCTTGGGCATCCTCAGCAACGCGGAGGAAGACGTCCTCAAGAGTGGTGAGTGAGACGTGGAAGTCCTTGATGTTTGCCGCAGACTGGAGGTACTCAAAGACGCCTGGAAGCTCGGGTACCTGGGTCGACGCGACTTCGACGGTAAAGTGCATGGGCGTGGTGTCGACGACAGGGTAGTGCGGGAAGCGCTGGAGGAAGGCAGCCCAGACGTCGGTAATGTGCTCGGGAGCAGCAACGACCTGGACGCGGTAGCCGGTGCCAAACTTGCGCTTGAGGTGAAGCGAGGTGCCGATGCAGCGAATGCGGCCGTTGGCCATGATGGCGATGCGGTCGGAGAGGACGTCGGCCTCCTCCATCGAGTGGGTAGTGAGAGTGAGAGCACGATTGGGCCGCTTCTTGGCGCGCTCGATGACGTCCCAGACCTTGCGACGCGAGACCGGGTCCATGCCCGTCGTCGGCTCGTCGAGGAGGACAATGGCCGGATCGCAGGTGAGGCCCATGGCGACCGAGAGGCGGCGACGCATGCCGCCCGAGTACGAAGAAGCGAGGCCGGTGCGGTCGCCCTGGAGATCGACCTCATCGAGGCGGGTGCGAACCTCGTAGCCGAGGTCAGCTCCGGCGAGACCCTTGAGGCCGGCAAAGACAGCGAGGTTCTCCTCGCCAGAGAGGTCGTCCCAAAGGACGTCAAACTGCGGGACGACGGCGAGGTGGTCACGGATGGCATCGCGGTCGGTGAGGGTAGTGAGTGAGCGGCCGGGCGTGTTTCCGTCAGAAGCGAGGTTGAGGACGGCATAGCCGGACGAGGGCTCGACGCCACCGGTGAGCATGTTGATGGTGGTCGACTTGCCGGCGCCGTTCGCGCCAAGCAGGCCGAGGACCGAGTTACGGGCGATGGAGATGGAGAGGTTGTCGACGGCCACAAACGAGCCAAATACCTTGCGCAGGTTGTGGATGACAAGCGCCGGCTCCTCGTGGAACTGGTTGAGACGGACGCGGGCGGCCTCGGCCTGGACGTCCGGGTCGTCGACGCCGGCGTCGCCGCCGACGTAGCCGTCAGCCTGCGGGAGCTCGCAGGCGGCGCCGGGCCGCGGCTTGGGCGACGCCGAAGAGCCAAAGCCCCAATAGCGTGGTGAGAACGGGTAGAACGGCGAGCGGCGGACACCCATGGCATTGGGCAGGACAATGTCGAGGTACCACGCGAGGACAAAGTACACAATCGTGTCAAAGACGAGCCAGTTGAAGACCTGCGTAAAGGGGAAGATCTCGGTGTAGTTGGAGCGCTGGGCCCAGGTGACACCGACAACAACCGACTGGCCGGACGAGGCGTTGGTGAGGTCAACGAGCGACTTGTTGAAGATGACCGGCGGAAAGAGGGCGAGGAGGTAGCGCCAGAAGGACGAGACCGAGGTGCCGTCGCCATACACAAACTGGCCGATGGAGGAGAAGAGGCCAAAGAGGAACAGGTAGAAGAGGGCCATCATGCGGGCAGACTTGACGTTGCGGAAAAGGGTCGAGAAGAAGAAGCCGGTGGAGATCATCGAGAGCGAGAAGAGGACAACGAGGAAAAAGGTGATGCCAAAGGCCGACTTGGTTACAATGCCAAAGTCAAAGATGTAGCAGACGGCAATGAGGAGCAGGTCTGCGGTGAAGAACATGGCGAGGAAGGTGACCCACCACGAGGTCCAATACGCGGCGCCGGTGACGCCGATGAGCGACATGGAGAACTTGAGCTTGGCCTCTTTCTCGGCCACAACCTGCATGAGCATGAGGACGAGCGGGAACATGGTGGCAAACATGAGGAAGAGGCCGGCGCTCGAGGACTTGACGTTAAAGTTGAAGATGACCGGGTGGGCAAACTCGGTGATGGCGGCAACAATCGAGGCCGCCGGGCCGCCCTGGCGGCCGGACACCTCGCCGAGAATGGCCTCGTCGAGGAGCATCATCATGGGCACGGCAATGTCGCGGCCGACCTGGCGCACTCGTAGAACTTGAGGTCGTTGTCGCAGTCTGAGAAGAGCGTCTCGTTGATGGCAAGCGTGTAGATGTTGCCCGACTTCGGAAGGCTATCAGAGTGGGTGGCGTTGTCAAAGTTGAACACGTACGCGGCCTGGGTCACGTTGTACTCGTCGTACATAAACTTGTTGAGCGTCTCCAGATCGCCGCCTGGGATACCATGCACATTCGCCGCCGGCACGCCCGCCGCGAGCCTCACCTTTTCCATCATTCTCGCCACCACAGGCACGGTAGCGTAGTTATAGATAAAGGTGTAGCAATGTGACTTGCCCTCGCCGATCTTGCACGGCGGGAGCTGAGTGGAAATGGCCTTTGACGGCGGATTGGGAACGTTCTTGGTCAAATCCGAGTGCGTCTTGACGATGAGCGAGAGGAGGAAGAGCAGAATCATGATTGCAGACGGAATGATGACAAACGAGAGCGTCGACTTCCAGTTGCGCTTGGCGAGAATGGCATTCTTCCGCAGCAAGACCTTGGTCTGGTGGCTCCGCTTGCCGAGCCAAGACCTCTTAGGAATCGTAGTGCTCCGGCTAACCTCGCCTATGGACGACATGTCGACCTAGTCTACACGGTAGGGGGGGGGGGGGGTAGGAGGGTTAGGAGGGTGAGGAGGGTAAGGAGGGCGGGAGGAGGGGGGGGCGGGGGGGGGGGGCTGTGAAGCGCGTGCGTGTCGCCGAGAATCGCCATCCTTTTTCGCCGAGTCACCTCCACCATCGATAGAAGGAGGATGGGGAGAGGAAGAAGGAGGAAAGGAGGGAGGGAAGGAGGGAGCGAGCGAGCGAGGGAGGGAGGGAGGGAGCGAGGGAGGGAGGGAGCGAGCGAGGAAGTCTCCTTGTCTCGCCTGTGCGAGCAGCAGGTGGGCGGGGGGCAAGAAACTCGCATGTGCGGCCGGACGACATTGATGATATGTATGGGTTAATTGATGGTTGGTTGTCAGTCATCCATGTCAGGCACCTTTGCGTACTTTTTCTGGCGCCTGAGCGAGCGAGAGAGGTACCGGCGAGAGTGGTTTGTTGAGGTTTGCATCGCGTGCACGTGTGCCGTGCGCGCGCATGTGCGAGTGGCTGGTCGGTGAGGTGATGATGCACGGGAGATCAGGTTGTAGCGTCATGATCGGACTGTCAGGGTAGGGGCAACTCTTACAAGCGGGGGGACGGGTGGCCGGTGAAACCTACCACGACTCGTCATCAGATGACGACCACGACGGAAGGCTGTTACGCTGCAGATAGTCGTAATGCCTGCTTGATGAGGCGCCGACATGATCTTGCAGTTGCCGAGTAATAGCCTCGCGGCGGCGATCCCGAGCAGCGACGCGAAGGTCTTGCAAGAGGGAGGATGTTGTTGATGACGAAGCGGCTACCCTTGCCGGAGCATGAGTGCGGCGGAGAGCAGCCCCGTTGCGGATCTGTGCAAGAAGATCGCCGCGGGTCGGTGCAGCAATGGTGTCAGGCGTGACGTCTTCGACGCTGGCGGCCTCATCGGCAGGCTCAGCCGGCGCGCGGAGGACAACACGGCCGAGACGCTGGGCGCGGATGTCGCGGAGGAGTTCTGCACGGGTGTTGAGGACCGGCGGGGTGCTCGGCACACCTTCAGCAACCGCCATGCCCTGCGGGATCTCAAGCGGCGGCAGCGAGGCGGCGGCGGCCGAGCCACGTGGGCCGCTGGGAAACATGGCCGAGTACAGCGGCGGCGGGGTGGCGCCGCCGCTGGCAGCCGGCGTGGTCGATGCCGTCGATGCCGACGGGCCGGCGCGGTCGGCATCGCGGTCGGCATCGTGGTCGGGAAAGATAAAAACTTGTGGATGGGCTGGAAAGGCCTGGCGAGAAGCGGGCATGGGCGGAGGTGTGGGCAGCGCGCGAAGGGCGGCCGAGTCTGCGTAGTTGAGCGGAAAGAAGCCCTCTGCAGCAGTTGCCGGGCGCATGGCATAGCCCCAGCCAGACGACTCGGCGCCGTTCCACATGAGGATCTCGCCGGCTGCGAACGAGAGCTCATCGGCGGTCATGGCTGTGTAGTCATACAGCATGGTGACGGGCTGGAAGAGCGGGAGATGAAGGATGCGATCGGTCGACGAGGCGCTGGCCGGGCCAAGGTCCGGTAGCGCGGCGCCCTCGAGCAAATCCTCGACCGGCTCGGCCAGCGCAGACGTAGTCGAGTCCCAGGTCTCGTCGACATCGTCGGTGGCGCCGGCCTCGGCCTCGGCCTCGGCGTCGACATCGTCAGTAGCGTCGATCTCGGCCTCGGCAGTCGAGAGTGCAGCCTGGGTAGAGAGTGAGCTTGGCTCAATGAGGACACCTGGGAAGGCGGCTTCGACAAGGGTGTCGAGCCCGCTCGGCAAGAGCTGGGCGGTGGAGACCGGATCGGAGATGGCGGCTTCAGCCGAAGGCGGGAGGACGTGGGCAGCAAGCGTTAGGTACTCCCACTCGGGGAAAGAGCGGGCGAGGGCCTCGGCCGAAGCAAGATGGACGCCACGAACGGTGACGAGGTAGGCGTGGAGGCCGTCGACAAAGCCGGTAAAGATCGAGCGAATGGCAACAATGGCGGAGCGCAGGAGCTTGGCAGCAAACTCCTGTGCCTGCTTGGCGGCATACAACATGTTCTGCTCGGTGTGGATGGTGTCAACAACCAGATCTTCGTACGCAACACGGCGAGTGTTGAGCTCCTCCGGATCCGAACCGTACTTGCGCACAAACCGGGCGAGTCGCTTCCTCGCCTTGGTCGCCTCCTTGACAAACGAGACGACTCGCGAGTTGAGCGCCTTGTATCGATCGTCAAGCAGAGCTTTGTGGCGAACCTGTGCCTCGTCCAGAGCTGTCAGCAGCGACTCGACCCGTCCCACCAGGGCGGTTGCAAAGACCTGCGCCTCAGACGTCTTTCTCGCGCTCGCATCATCGAGCACCGCCGCGATGTGAGCGAGACCAGCATTGACATCGTCAAGCAGTCTTCCCTGCGAGTCGGTCGAGCGAGTTGCCCGAGTCGCGTCATAAGCCTCATGCTGGCTCTCTTGATCATCAGCATCGAACTGATCGCTGGGCGGAGGAGGACGGGGAGGAGCAGGAGTGAGAGCCCGAGCAGCCGAATCGAGGCGGAGAGACTGAGCCGAGTCCATGGCGATGGTGATGACATTGATGAGATCTGTATCAAGCCGAGCAGCAGCAGATAGAGCAGATGCATGCGCAGTGATGGCCTTGCGTAGCTTGGTCATGGCCTTGCGAACACTGTGTCCTCGCTTCACTACATGTTTGGCCGTCCGGGCCATCGCTCAGCTGTCGCGTGCGCCTCCATGGTCGCCGCTATTCCGCCGCCATCTCCACCGCCACTTGCTTTGAGGAGGCCTTTGAACATGATATACGTTGGGGATGATGGGCGGGAGGGGGGGGGGGGGGGGGGAGGGGGGAGGGGAGAGGTGTCGGCTGCGCCGTAGCTGTGCAAGAGAAGAAAGAATCGCTCGAATCGAATCGTTGAGTTCATTGGGATTTATCGTTGTCGTGGTTAATCGTTGAGATCATTGGGATTCATCGTTGTCGTGGCTAATCGTTGAGATCATTGGGATTTATCGTTGTCGTGGTTAATCGTTGAGATCATTGGGATTCATCGTTGTCGTGGTTAATCGTTGAGATCATTGGGATTCATCGTTGTCGTGGCTAATCGTTGAGATCATTGGGATTCATCGTTGTCGTGGTTAATCGTTGAGATCATTGGGATTTATCGTGTTAATCGTTCCCGTGGTTATCGTTGGGGTTGGCGACGCGGAGAGTCGCACTCGACGTGCAGAGGCCCGGCAGTGTGGAGGCTCCAGCGGTCGGATACGTCTTGCTAGAGACATCAAACTCTACAGAGGGAATCATGTCAACGTTTTCTACAGAAACTATGAGTGGCGTGCCGATGGCTGGACAAAGGCGAGGAAGCGAGGAGGATGTGTGGGAAGGGGCCGGCGGCGGGGGCATGTCGTCGGACGACACGGCCTCAGTTCGCCGAGCGCACGACATCTCTTGGGACGAGCTGAGGATTGTCGAGACCATCGGCTCGGGCGCCTTTGCCGATGTTTTTCGCGGCGTATGGGCGGGCACGCCTGTTGCCGTCAAGCGACTTCGCTTGCACAGGCGGCAGCACGGTCGTCATCAGCATCATCCTGAGCATGCTGATGCTGTTGCTGATAATCATCCTCCCGAGCATGATCATGATGGGCAGAGCCAAGACGATGCCGACGATGGGCAGAGCGGCAACAAAACAGTCACATCTACGGCTGTGACCCAAGACATGACGGAGAAAGAGGCTGAGACGCTCGACGAGAGCGAGGCGACCGAGCTGATGCGGGTCCGGCAGGCTCTGGTGGAGGAGGTCAAGGTCTTGTCGCAGCTGGCACACCCCAACACAGTGACGCTGCTGGCAGTCTCCATCTCACCGCCGGCCATTGTCCTCGAACTCCTCCACACCGATCTGAGGACGCTGCTGTTCTACTCGGAGGTGGTGCTGAGCCACGCCGAGAGGGTCCGCCTCCTCCGCGGAGTGGCGTCGGGCATGGCGTACCTGCACATCCGCGGCATCCTCCATCGCGACCTCAAGCCGGCCAACATTCTTGTCGACGCCTCGCGCGCCGTGGTCAAGATCGCCGACTTTGGCCTCGCCCACGTCATCGAGTCCATGTCAGCGCCCATGATGGCCGGCACCCGCAGGTACATGGCGCCCGAGCTGTTTGTCGGCGGCCGCCCCACCCCGGCCGTCGACGTCTTTGCCTTTGGCGTCACCGCCGCAGAGGTCGTCTACCGCCACAAGGCCCGATACGCCGCATTCCGCGAGACCAACGCTTACGCCGCTCTCCTCCTACCGCCAACTCCGACCTCTCGATCCTCGTTCCTCGCCACCCTTGTGGATCCGCTCATCACCACTTGCGTCGCCCCCGATCCGACCCGCCGCCCGTCGTTTGAAACGCTTGTCACTCGCCTCGAGGCTCTGCACGAGCTCCTGCTCCTCGGCCCGCTCGACGCCTCGGTCCCGGAGCTGCCCATCGCCGACATTGTCCCGCGCTCCGCCGATCACGCCGCCATTGTCGAGGCCCTCCTCCCGCTGTTGCGGGCGTTGTCGGCGTTGTTGGTCCATCCGGAACTGGCAAGACGTACCTAGTCATTGGCATTGTCCGCGATGACGCTGTCCGTCGCGCCTTTGCATGTGGCCTCTTCTGGATCGCCCTCGGTGCGCTGCCGGACGAGCGGTTTGTGGCCACAGAGCTGGCCCGCGCCGCCGATGCCGCTTCTACCTTTGCAACAGCCCATCGCGATGCGCCGCGTCATGTTCTTGTTGTACTCGACGACGCCTGCGAGGCGAGCGCGGTGGCGCAAGCGCTGGCTGCCGCCACTTCCGCCTTTGCCACCACGCAACTCGCGGTCACCGTCCTCGTCACCTCGCGAACGAGTCGGGCACTAGACAACGCCCCACTTTCCGGGCCGATATACGAGCTTGGCGACCTCGACGTCGATACCGCTCTGCTCATGCTTTCCAAGTGGGCCGACTTGCCGCTGGATCGGCTCCCAGACCGTGCAGCACAGCTCGCGGTTTTTGCGGCGACTCGCCACTCCTCCTCGCCATGATCGGTGCCGTCTTTGGCTCGCGTCCAGGCTCGTTTCCGCGGCTGATGCATGCCTTTGACAAGCTCGTGGCTGCACCAGAGGCTCATCTCCGACTCGTCCATCTCTGTGTGTCCTCGATCTCGTTCCTCGCCGACGAGTACCGCAAGCTCGTTGTCCTCCGCAGTGACGCTGCCGTCAGCGCCTCTGTCCTCCGCATCCTCTGGACTGGCAGCACCGACGAAATGGGTGCTCTCGACGATCCAGTTGACGCCCTCCTCGATCTCCTTGTGGCGCGCAGGCTCATCCAGGACGAGCGAACCGACGGCATGTATTCGATCCATGCCCTCCTCTACGACTACCTTCAGTGGCGGGTCCCTCGCTGCGCCGCTGCTCCCTTTCACGCCGCGCTTCTCGCCAACGCCGCTGCTGGCCTTTCAGATTACGGCACCGAGCCGAGCACGCCATCGAGCTGGATGGCTGTCCTCGCACCTGCCACAACCGCCATGGCGCCTACCTCCGCTCTCACGTCGTCCATCATCTCGCCGGAGCCGGGCGCTACGCCGATGCCGCTGGCCTCCTCCTCACCGAAGGCTATCGCGACATGTTTCTCGCCTCGGCGCCACTCTCTTGGCTGACAGCAGACGTCGATGCCGTGGTTGCCAGCGTCTCTGCCGACACTGCTTTCGCCTTGACGGCCTTGCAACATGTTGAGGGTCAGCCCCAGCCGGGTCAGCCCCAGCCCCAGACCCAGACCCAGACCCAGACCTAAACCCTCAAGCCTTTGTAAACCCTCAAGCCTTTGTAACCGCGGCGCTGTTCATCATCACATGATATGCGATGGCAATATGGCTCTGCGTTGATCAGCGCGACAACGATGATCATCGCGACATGGTTGGCACCAACCATTAATCTAACGTTCCCATAATGCATGCCCCCGCTAACCATTAATCTAATGTTCCCATAATGCATGCCCCCGCCAAACATTAATCTAACACTCAACGTTCGTCAATTGAAGCGACAGTTTGGCGACTCGGCGCTCAACTCGCCCGTCGGCCAGCCAGACGACGACGGTGGGGACGACCGGCACGGCATGGCGCAGAACTGCTCGGCCTTCCTCCTTCTCATCTTCATCCTCATGCTCTGCTCCACCCTCCCCAGTCTCCCCAGTCCCACCACCTCCACACCCGTCGACTCGGCCATGCCGTACCTAGCGGCGTGTGCTCGACCGACTCTGACCTCATCATCATCATCATCATCATCATCATCATCATCATCATCATCATCATCATCATCATCATCATCATACACACACCATCGCCCATCGACGACATGGCCCAGTGCAGGTCTGCCACCGACTGATGACGTCATCGTTCTGTCTTGGCTCTTTCCCCTCCATTGGCTCGGCTACCATCTCGATCGTCTCATCGATGATCATGATCATCATCGTCATCATCATCACGGTCATGGTCGTCATCTGGTCGATCTCGTCCGATCGGCCCTCGCTCCGTTGGCGTTGTGCTGGCGGATCGATGGTCGGCTCTTGGCCTGGCTGCTGTGGTTCTGGCCTTACTCCTCGTCCTCATCTTGGTCCCTGTCATCATCATGATCACCAACATGGTCCTTGGCTCTACGCCCGACGGTGTCGGTGCGCCTGCTGCCATAGTTGTGCGTGGAGCCGATCCTTTGGCGAAGGACGCCGACGCAAGGATGATCGTGTCGTAGTTGCATCTGGTGATGGTCCGGGCGAGGGCGCGGGCACGGGCGCCAGTGTGGTGATCGACGACGAGGAGGAGGACGTGGTTGTCCTTCCGCGAACGCTTTTCCAAGAGCGAACAGGAGGAGCGATTCGCGAGATGGTGGTGGTGGCCGAGGCAGACGGGCAAAAGACGCCCGAGATTGAGATGGAGATGGCTGCGTCGACGCCCGAGCTGGTGGTGTTGAACGCGTCGCCGCGAGCGCAGCGGTGGCTGGCCTCGGAACGGATCGGAGCGGACGAGCTGGCGAAGGCGCTGACGGTGCAGCGGGAAAGACGGCGGCGCGAGCTGAGCGCAGCGCAGCAAGCCGAGTTTGACGAGCAGCTGGCCGAGTACTACGCGCACGCGCTGCCGACGCTCGGCCTGCGGGCGGAGACGCGGCAGCAGCTGAAGGAGCTCCGCGACGACATTGACGCCATCCACGCACGGATCGCCGGCCGCGCAGAGCGGGTGGCCGCTGCGGCTGCTGCGCTCGAAGCCCGGCTCGGTGCGCTCCGCAAGGAGACGGTGCTGAGCACGGCGGCGTTTGCGATCTTCAGCTTTGCGCTCACCGTCCGATCGAGCGATGCCGTGATCTCGCTAGCGCGAGCGCTGATGGCGAGTGTGGCGCTGCCTGTGCCAGCAGCGTCAACGTCATGGCTGATGCCGCGGGCACTGAGCTCGGGTGTGGCTGCGACGGTCGGCATGGCTGCGGCCGGCGGCGGGCTGGTGGTGGTCAACCACCTCGCACCGAGCCTGCTCCCGTGGACGCTTGCGGCGTGGATCCTGCTTGTTCACAAGATCGAGTGCTGCGTGGCAGCGCTGGCGGTGGCATGCGCTATTGTGGCGGTCCAGGTTGTGGCGCGGACGGTTGGCCATCCGCAGGCCGACGCGAGCGCCGCCGAGTGGGCCGTCTTTCGCTTCCAGCTCTTCCTCATGTCTGTGGTCGCCGGCGCCTGTGTGGGCTTTGCCGGCGGATGGGGCTACAACGCTGACAGTGCGAGCGGGTGGTGGGCCGATGGATGGAAGCCGTTTATGAGCACGCCGAGCGTGCTGTACCCAAGCATGGTGGCCATGGCTGCGGCGTGGGGCTGGTTCCTGCGGCGGTGAGCCGCTTGGCGAGCGCGAGGGAAGCGATAAACCGAGTAGGTGAAGCCGTGTAGCCGATCACGAGTGCGATGCATCTGAAGCAGCATCAGAGGGCCACCACGAGGCCAGCCAGCCGGACCAGGAGCGGGTGCTGGGAGCATCCTCCCTGGCGCGGGCGACGGCGTTGCCCGAGACCGACGAGGCGTCCTTGCGGACATTTGAGAGAGAAAAGCGGCGAAAGTTGGAGGGCAGCAGTGAGGCCGAGACGAGCTCAGTCTCGTCCTTGTCGGTCCCGAGCCAGGCGAGGTAGACCTTGACAGCGCAGGCGGTATCGTAGCACGGCACGCCGTAGTCTGCGTACGAGAGGGCGCAGTTGGAGCCGACGCATGATCCGGGGCAGTCGGAGCAGCCCTCATCGTACTCGAGGCGGACAATCCTGCCCGACCGCATGTGGACGAGGACCGAGTAGTAGCCCACAAATGACGAACCGTCGGTGTACGGCCTCGGCGCCGTGGTGAAGCTCCCCAGCGAGGTGTGGATCCGCACAGAGTCGTTCCGGTAGAGCGCTGCGCCAGAGTACGGGATTTCGAGGACAGACATCTCGTCGACCTTGGGGAAGAACGGCGCCTTCATGGTTCCGTTCGCCGTTGTCACCCATGTGTACACCAGCGCCTCATCGCCGCTGCGCAAGTACCCCGCCCACCAACACCACCGTGAGCTCTCGGTCAGTCGCCCCGCCGCCGCATTCACCGCTTTGCAGAAAAAGGTCGTGAAACGCCGCCGCCATTCACCGTTTTACGGAAAAGGTCGTGAACAGCCAGAAAAGGTCGTGGAAGGGGAAGGGGGGAGGTAGAGGGGATTGGAAGGGGGCTTTGATCGGAAGGAGGGGGAGGAGGGAGACGATCGCCACGCGATCGATCACAAGGGTGATCGATCGTGACCAAGGCGGCGCGGGGAGGGGAGGGGGTGTATACGCATGGTTGCGGTGTGTGGGTGGAGATATGGGGAGAGAGAGGGAGAGAGGGAGAGAGGGAAGGGGGGAGGGAAGGGGGGGGGGC